CCCGTGCTTGGCCGGGAAGCCGGAGAGGGCTCCGCGGGGCCGGACAGCCCAAATCCGGACAGCGATCGGCAGGGCGACCGGGGAGCCGCAGCTCGGGAAGCTCCGCCGCCGCTTGGCCCCTTCTGCCCCGGCTTCTGCGAGTTGGCACGGGCGGCCAGGGAGGGGGCGCCGAGGGAGGGCCGAGAGGCAGCGCAGACGCCAACCTCCTTTCTTCCTCCGCCTTTCTTTTCTGCTTGCTCCACGTAGCACCAGTGCCTCTCCCGCACCCCAGAACGTCCTCCCAGCTCCCCGCTTACCTGTGTAGCGCCCCGGCCTTCTGCGCTCCCCTCCCCCATTCATTGGCTGAACTTCCCGCCGCGGCTGCAGGTCGCCAGGCCGGTGGTGGCGGGGGGAGGAATCTAAACCTCCCATTCATTATCTTACCAACTCTCTTCTTCGCCCACACCCGCCGCGGATCAGACACACCCAGCGCGGGACCGTGGCCGCCCGATCCCCACGGCCACCGCCCCCTCCTCCGGCTCTCACCCCTGGGCGCGACAGCGTAGTGGGATTCCGGTGAGCTCCCCCACACGCTGCATTTTCATTTTGTCGCGTTTCTCTTCCCCTCTTGAAAAGCTCTAGGAAACCTCGCGGGGCCGCAAAACTTTGGGAGCGTGGCCTCTTTGGTGTAGTTCCCAAACTTTCCAGAAGTTGCACAGTTCTCGCAGCGCAGCCTAGATTGGAGGCTGCAAAGAGAGAGTAGGCTTTGTTGCTCTCTATAAAGGTGTGTGTTCTGGTTCTGATTTATCGACTGACAGGAGCTGCAGACCAAAGCAAGTGTGCCTCTCTGCTCCCCTAGTCCTCCAGATCCATGATTATAAATTTCTCTTTCGCTTTCCCAGTGTAACTTTGTAAGTGCAAACTATCAGTTTTAGTGAGAGTAATTAAGGGCGGGAAAGCACACCTGGAGCTGTGGCGGGAGCAGAGGGACTAAGGCCCGGGGATCGATCTTAGGAGAGTGGCAGCTGCATGGATTCGCCGGGTCCTGCAGCCACACTCAGTCGATGGGCAGTGGGGGCCTCCAGCCGCGCCTTCTCACCCACACACCTCCCACCCCGGACTCCGCAGGGTTTCCGCAGTGCTCAGATTTCTCTGCCTCTCACTCCACCGCCAAGGCCCACGCACAAAGCTGCTGGAGAGTGAAAGCTTAATCCGCTATGGCCTGCTGTGGCACCTGGGACGGCTGGCAGCAGTCGGGCAGCACTGACACCACACACCTAAGAAGGAGTGGGAGGCAAGGAGGGAGGCTGCTGCGTTGATACCGGTCACCCTGCTCGGCTTTGCAGCAGAGACGTCGCTGTAAACAGCGGTGGCAGAGAGGGGAAGATCTCTTGCAGGGAATGGAAACTTTTGGAGCCTCCAGTAAGTTACACATTGAAGAGACCGTGACCATTTCCTGCCGTGGTTACACAGAACCTTGACCAAGCCCAAATGGTTTTCACAGGATACTCAAGGCTGAGCCCTGGCTGCCGGTCATTGACGAGCCAAAATATTTACTTTTTAAAACAATCCTTCAAACAAATACCTTTTTAAAATAAACTTTGGGCGGCTGCTTTCCCTCTTTTCCTACCAATTTATTATTTATTTTACAATAATCTACTGAAAATGTGAAAAACATAAAATTGTTCTATATGCACAGTGCTCACATGTTCATGCACAGGACGTATAGTTTATACGTGCAGTTATGCAGACGTGTATAGTATGAGGTGTGATCAGAATATACAGTGAAGGTTTAAGTTTAGAAATTCCCGTACTTCACCCCTCTCAAAGTCTACCCCTTTGCTTCAAACAATTTATCCCCTCATTGCGGAGCAGTTCTGGAAGTCCTCTTTCAAGTCTTAATGAGATACGATAAAAAATATGGTGCTACTGCTGAGCACCATCCAGTGGAAAAGTAACCTCATAGAAACACTAGGGTGTGTTCTCACATACTTTATTCGGTGTATTTGGCACTATGCAGTGGTTGCCTCTTCCCCCGAAGTCAGAATGATCATGAAAAGTTATGAATCAATGCTGGACATCAACACAATCAGGACAACACAACTGAAGACACTCATGAAAGAAGACTTCCAGAACTGCTTCAGAAAGTGGCAGAAACCATGACATACCTGTGTTGGAAGAAAAGAGGAGTATTTTGAGGGAGATTAATATAAATGTGTCTTTTACTTTAATACTTTTTAAAATTTAAACATGCATGGTATTTTTATTATACCTTGTATTTATAAGAAAAGAAGGATATAATAAAAAAAGCTGTTGTTTTTAGCTATCACCCTATTCAGTTAAGAAAAAAACCACCTAACACCTAATTTTCCTTTCCCCCCTCTTCCTACACACTCCACTTGTTAGATTTCTCAGGACCAATACTTCTATATATAATGAAAAGAATATTTTAAATAAGTTATTCTCATTATTAGTCTTTCATCATAAATCAAAGGTATAGTACTAATTAGTTTCTTACCTAGCACTTAGCATTCAGCACACAGGTTGAATTTTTAACATACTGATTTTTATCTATCGCCTTATTGAGGAATGCAGTTGCTTCTGCTTCAACTACCTATTAACTACCTTTACTCCGTGATCCTTGCTGATGTCCAATGTGAAGTCTGTCCTTACATGACAGGCATATTCAAGAATCAGTTAGGTACCTCAGTACAAGGCCCTGGTTCAATTGCCACCATTAAAAAAAAGTTTTCATTAAATAAAACTTTACAATAAGTTATTTGGCATAAAACACTTTACTTCCTCTTTATTTGGTCTACTGTAAAACACAATAAAATTTCTCCCTGTGGGGAACAAACTAAAAGGTCTGCCTGGACAGACCTGTCTTTCTGACAAGCATGGGCCTGTAGAATAAGGCTGCTTCTGCAGCCAGCTTTAGGTCAGTAACTTTAAAATCAAAAGCAAACTGTATGTCCAGTATGAAAGGAGAGAGAAAATGAGATATAAGACAGAACCCCGTTCAGCACATAGATTAGCCCATCAAAGTTAGTATGATGTTTCAAATGAACTGGTTTCCTCATCTGTAAAATAGGGTGATAATACTAGCACAGTATATTGCATAGGGTTCCAAGATGTCTTTATAAAAGTAAGATACTATGTTTGAATGGGCTTCTTAAAATACTAACACTGATGTTACTGTTTCTGTGGAAATGAAGGAGAATGCCTTGATAGCTTTTCGTTTGTTTGTCTGTTTTTTGTGTTTTTGAGACAGGGTCTCACTATACAGTTCAGGCTGGCCTTGAGCTCACTTTGTAGCCCAGGTTATCTTCAAACTCACAATGATCCTCCTGCCTCAGCCTGCCGAGTGCTGGGATTACGGCATGCGCCACCACGCCCATTTTGATAACCCTTCATAAAGTTTTCACCTCTCTGAAGCCCTCTTACTCAAACTTACTTCTTTTCTTGAGCAGTCATGTCTCCTGTCCTTTTCCAGGCAACAGTTCTATAGATTTGCTTCTCCAAATGACTCCAACAAAGCCAAAAACAGCTAGTGCTGTCAAGCATGAGAAAAGATATGCTCAGCAAAATAAAATTTTTCATGAAGGACACTCGGGTGGAGATTTTGCATCCATATCTTCAAGGGTATTGTAGATTTTATCAGATGAGTGATGTTATCTAGGAATCCAAAGATGATAATTTGAGAAGTGTTTAGTCGGGAATGAAAATTTGGCTGTCATTTCCTTTGGAACTATTTATTACTTGTTCAAAAAGGTTTTGCCAGTCTTACCAGTTCCCTCTTCCTCCCTGTGTTTCCTTCTCTCTGGCAAAAAGCCTCTGAGATTTTCTAGCAGAGAGCAGTCAAAACTATCAGCACAAAGATCTGTTGGAAACTTTCCCTCTAGTCTATTAATGTAAAGACTATATTTTGGAAAAACAATACCCTGAGAGAATTCAGCCTGCTTGAGAGAGGGTTCCAGATGCCCAGGGGGCATAGGTTTCCTCCTTCTGAAAATGGGGCATTTGCTCTGCGCAGGTGTTTTTCCCCTGAGCCAAAACCATTCTCCTTTCTATTTTAAAGTGCCATCTAATTCAATTTTAAAAAGCTTTCTTCAGAGGAAAAATGGCGCAGAAGATTTCAGGAATGAGGAACGGAAGTTGGGTCTGTGCCTGGTATAAGCACAAGACTGCAGTGAAACCAGTCTGAAACAGGCACTGGGAGCTCACCTTTTTATCACATATCTCTGCATGAATAATCTGTTGTTGGAAGTGGACCAAAAGCTATCAGATCTTTTCTCTGCAGTGTCCTTTATGCAAGTGAAAGGCTCAGATCTAAACGTGAGGAGAAAAGGCAATTGAAAAAAGCAAAAAAATACGTATGCAATTAGAGCTAAAACTAGGCCTATATACATAGAAATGGTAGAAAAGGCCAACAAAACAAAATGCTAATTCTACAAAATAATAGAAGAGTACACACATTTCTGGTAAAAACTGACAGTGAGACAGGAAAAGAAATAAATAAGACTATGAATGTGGAAATTCCAATTATAGTTTTAGTAGAATTTTTTGACTGTGAACATTAAAAATCTTAAAATACTTTAATAAGAAGTAAATTGTAAAATATATTGGTTCAAAAATAAAGAACATGTGTATATTTAAAACTATTAAATAATCTGAACTTTTCCCCCTTTTTGGAGTATTTCACTCTACTACTGAACTACATCCTGAGCCCTCTTTAAAAATTTGATTCTGCAGTTGCCAGGCTAGCTTTGAAACAGCAATCCTCCTGCCTCAGCCTTCCAGGTACCTGGTATTACTGGTGTGTTCCACCATACCCAACCATTTTAATCCTTATTTCTAAATTCAACCACAAAAAGGTCAAGTTTTTGATGACTACAATTTATCAAATCATGGTAGACAGATAACCTCTCTTCAAAGAGCTTAAAAGAATATAAAAAAGAAGAAAAGTACTCCAATAATTTTGAGCTAATAAAATCCATTTACCAAAATAAGGACAGGCATAAAAAAAGAAAATAATAGGCCAATTCACAAAGAATAAAATTGTAATCCTATATACAATATTATCAAACCAGTTGAAAAAAAGTGTTTTAACGAAATATATCATAAGCACTTTATTGCATACAATTAATACAAAGATAGTTTAATGTTAGAAAAGACAAAGTAATTCACCTCTCATTTATTTTTTTATCCTAGCAAATAGGAATAGAAAAGAATTTCCTGAACATAATAAAGAGCTGCTACCAAAAACCAACTCTAGCAGCACTATGGTTCACGTCAATTCATTAGATATTCTCCTCTTAAAAGTAACAAAACAAAGATCTATTTTTTCATATATATTCAACAACACTGTATTGAAGCCCCTTGCTAATATAATAAGACAAGAAAAAAAATTAGATGGCTTAAGGGTTAGAAAACAAGAAAAATATAATTTATGGATGATATAGCTACTTACTTGAAAAATCCAAAGCAAGTTGAAGAAAGTATATCTAATAGACTTTAGCAGTGTTATAAATACCAGATCAATATGTCAAAAAACTACCATCCATTAAAGATAATTTTCAAAGGTCTTGTAATCATATCATGTCTACATTACATGTAGACCAAAGTTAATCAAAAAATACTGTATCTATATGAAGAACATTTTTAGTATTATTAAAATACATTTTTAAAACCGAGATATGCCATTTTTGTGGGTGAAAAAATCCATATACACAACGCAATCTGTTGAAAGTTGCAATAAAATTCTTCACAGACTCTGATAAGATAATTCTAAGTCCAT